AATAAGAACCAAGATGCATTATATAAAGGTACAATTCCCAATGAGAAATGTAATTGTGTTGTATACCTACAATGTACCAATAAAAGAATTTAATCCAAAAAAAAAATGTTTTCTATGTCACACTACATGCAAAAATGAACTGCAGGAGGGTTAGAGATACAAAGTCATGAGTTATGCAACTTGGCTCTTAAATGGTCATGGAAAGAATACTAAAAATATAGAGTCTTGATCATAAAGAAAAATAGGCAATATGTTAATAATATATACGTATAGTGAAATAAATAGGACAGACATGTGTAAATACTGAATAGTTTCTCTGGTGTGAGAAACTGAAAGTGTAAATAAGGATCAAAAGGTATAATAGATAATGTGAAATAGGAAGAAAAGGTCCAAAGGGCAAGGGGAAGTGGGAGGGATGGGAGAAAGGAAAGAAGGGAATGGAATTAATATAAGAAATAGAAACAAAGTCGTTGTAAATAGGGAGGGGTGGAGGGATTGAAGGGAGGGCGGGGAATGGGGAAAAAATAAGAACCAAGATACATCATGTAAAGGTACAAATTTCCAATGATGAATGTCATTATATTGTATACCTAAAATGTACCAATAAAATTAAGTTTTAAAATAAAAAAAAAATCTACTCTTTTCTATACCCTGAGTTTAGGATCTATCCATCATTTTTGTCCAAATAGTGCTTTTCTAACATTCTTCTTTCTACATTTATTAGGCAGCATTCTATTAAGAAGAACTTTTGCATATCCATTGTCTATATGCTTTATTTTATTCAGTAAGGTTTTTTTCCAGTACTGGGGATTGAATCCAGTGCCTTCGTGAGGAGCTATGCCCTCCATCCCCTTTTTCATTTTTTATTTTGAGACAGAGTTTTACTAAGTCTCTAAATTGCCCACACTGGACTCGAACTTGTCATCTGCCTCAGACTCGCAGAGTTCTGGGATCACTGGTGTGCACCACCACGCCTGTCTTGTTCGATGAGTTTTAATTCATTACTGAGTTTAGTTATTGTAGTGCTCAGCTGTCCCATATTTGGTCAGTGGAAGTCTCTTCAATCTAGTTCCCACGACCTTTTGACATGATTCCATTATTTTTTGACGTCTATTAAAATATGTTTAGCGTGGGGCCGGAGATTTAGCTCAGTGGTTCCTCTGCCTGCCTCGCAAGTGCAAGGTCCCGAGTTTGATCCCCAGCACCCCCCAAAAAAATATGTTAGGCATGCAATTTGACAACCTTTGACACCACGACAAATAGCAAACACATCAATCACCTCTAAAAGTTTCCTTGTACCCTAAGCAATCATGGATTTGTTTTATGTCACTATTTGATTAGATTACATTTTGCTTAAATTTACGTAAGTGGAGCTATACAGTGTGTACTTTTATTTTGGTCTAATTTCTTTCGGTTGGCATAATTATTTTGAGATCTGTGTGTGTGTGTGTGTGTGTGTATGTGTGTGTTGGTTGGTTGGTTGTTTACTTTCTATTGCAGTCTTAGTTACTTTCTCATTGCTGGGACAAAACACCCAATACCCATAAGTTGTTTGTTTTTTCAGGACCAGGGATCAAACTCAGGACCTTACACTTGCCAGGCAGGCACAGCACCACTGAGTTACATCCTCAAACAAATAACATGTGTGCCATAAATTCGCCACCACTGGACTAGGACATTTATTTCTTTTTTTTTTTTTCTGGTACTGGGGATTGAGCTGAGGACCTTTTGTTTGTGAAGCAGGGGTGCACTACTGAACTAAATCCCCAGCCCTCTAGTACCCACAAGTTAAAGAAGGAGAGGTTTATTTTAGCTCACAGTTTGTAGAGGTTTCAGTCCATAGTCAGCTAACTCCAAGCAGGGCACCAGGGCAGAGAACAGTCCATGGCAGGGTAGGCAGAAAGCAACAAGTAGCAGCCTCCTTTTCCCTTTTATCTCATCTAGGTTGCAACCCATTAGTTGGTATCACCCCCATCCACGGTGTGCCTTCCCATTATCTACCCCTAGAACTACACTAAACCAGTCAGTAGGCTAATTTAGTATCACACCCTTAATCCATATTCAAACACCTTAGAGCCACCCATCTCCAAAGAGCTCCACTTACAAGCCCATGAGGCTTTGAAGGGACATCTGGATATAAGCCATAACATTTGCTAAGTAGTATTCCTGTATCCAGATACAAACTACCTCTTAATAGACATTTTGCTTGTTTCCACTTTTGCGCTATTTCAAATAAAATTGCTGTATCTGTGCATATGTCTTTGAGTGGACCTATGCTTTCATTTCTCTTAATTAACTGGGAGTGAAATGGAGAGGGAGTGGGGAGATCTATTTAAGTGTTTAAGAAAGTCTTTTCCAAAATGGTTGTACTATTTTATGTTCCCACCAGTGATATGTGAGAGACGCAGTTGCTCCACATTTTCCCTAGGGCTTAGTATCATTAATCTTCATTTTTGGCCTTTCTATTGGCCAATCAATGATATCTCACTGTGATGTAAAATGCTATGTATATAGTTTAGTTATATATTACCAAACACCCTCTATAGATGTTATATTATTTTGTAGTCCCACAGTATATGAGTGTTTATTCCCACGTTTATAACCATTCACTGCAATTTTCTTTAATATTTTTGTAGGAAATAATGTTGAATTTTTTTCAAAGGTGTTTTAAGCCTCTGTGGAAGTAATCATATGATTTTTCTCTTAGATCTATTAGTATTATATGCTAAATTCACAGATTTTCAAATAGAATCCTGCAGGTTCTTATACTTCTAATACAAATACCAAGCAATGGTGTGCTGTCTTGTTAATGTGGCTTGGGAATCTATATTCCCTAAATGCAGTCTAATATTACATTTCAGATTGTTGCACTATCGTGCTCCTTTCGGCAGCACATATACTAAAATTGGAAGATTGTTGCATTATCATCAGAAATGATACTGGTCTGTTGATTTCTTTTTTGTGTGCTATTATTACTGGATTTTATTTTGCTATATTTACATCATTAAAAGAATTTGAACAAAAACCAAAAAAAGAATTTGGAAATTTCCATTATTTGCTATACACTGAGGCTACTTAAAAATATTGGGGATATTTGATTTTTAAAAGTTTAGGTGAATCCCTAAACTTTTTCATAATTCATTGTCTAGGAGTGGCTGCTAAAATCAGCCCAGTGTTTAAAAATGGATGCCAAGGAGTTATTAAAGACACACAGACAGAAAGATAAAATATTTCCATAAGCAATATCTGCCCAGATTTACCTTCCATTATTGTTCATAACTCTCACAATTCTACCAGGAGGTAGAAGGCCCATGCAAAAGTGCATAACAGGGCCAGGGATTTAGCTCAGTAGTGCCGCTGCCTGCCTCAAAAGTACGAGGTCCTGAGTTTGATCCCCAGTACCAAAAAAAAAAAAAAAGTGCCTAACAAACCCCAAGACATTTTTACACACCTATATTAGCAGAGAATATCTTTTCCTTCTTTATCCAAGAGTGCAACCACATTTATCATTACTATTAATAATATTATGACTACATTACTAATTCCATCATATAAACTGCTATAGTTTGGATCTGGAATGTCTCCCAGGGCCCATGTGTTGGATCTTGGTTCCCAGCTCAGCACTACTGGGAAGTGGTGGGAATGTTAGGAGATGGGGTCTACTGTGAGATCTTCAGATCACTGGGCTGTACCCTTGAAGGGGACAGTGGGACCTCAGGCCCTTTCTTTTCATTTGCTTCCTGGCTATGAGCTGATCAGCTTTGCTCTGCCATATGGTCCTGCCACAAGGTGCTGTCCTGCCATAAAACTCACCCCAAATAAACAACAACAGGGCCAACCAACCAAGGACTGGAACCTCCAAAACTGTGAGCCAAAATAAACCTTTTGCTCTTTATAAGTTGATTATCTCAGGTTTTAGTATAGTCATGGAAAGCTGACTAATGCATACTTAATAAAATAAAGTGCAGATGTTGGAGGCTGTAGTATCTCAATGCTTGAGAGAAAGTTTGGCAACAGAGAAAATTTCATTTATGTCTCCAAAGTCTGCAGAGCCTCTATTCACTTTAAAAGTATTCGTGAAAAAAGACTTCATGGGAATATGGTGTCTCCAGACTTCTCTGATATACTGAGTCATGGGCTGAAATATAGCATGCCTTTATATGTATGCTTGAAGAAAAGATATTTAATAAATCAAAAACAGTATGGTTGATATAAAACAAATACCCAAACAACCAATAGAATGCTATTTGCTCTGCTATACTCCAGATAAATGTCTGAGTTCTCCAAGTTTCCCCTTCCTCAGACACTGAAGATCAGAGACCTCAGGTAATGAGGGAGGGACTCCAGACATGGAGCAGTAGGGAGCAGTAGAGATGGTGACTGATACTGAGGACATCTCTCCTGCATACATTAGAAATATTTTCTAGAAATGCTTTGCACTGATCATCCAAATACTCTTCTTCAGGAATCATTCCATTAAGGATGGTAGCAATAGAGCTGGAATTTAATGACTGTCTTTTAATCTTTTCTTTTTCTCTTCTGGCTTCTACCACTTTTGCTGTGTTTTAGTGAAGGTTCAAATTCTCCTTTCTGGGCACTAGAGCAGTATTTTCTTGGAATCACCTTAACTTTCAGTGACATCCAGAGCATGTTGGGTGGCCTCCTTTGACATCTAGACCAATTTATGGTCCCAGCCTTGCAGGTGTTTTGTTCTAGTCTTGGAGAGTGGGCTAAAGAAGTCGAAGGGAAACACACACACACACACACACGCGCACACACACACACACACACAAACACACACACGTATGTCTAAGCACCTTTCCAAGGAAGGTTGCATTTTGAGAAAAACTGTACCTTGTCTTAGTTTTTATTTGTTAGTTTAGCTTGCAATATGCTTCAGCAGACTTAGTAAAAGTAAAATCTCTGTAATGCACATATATTTATTTTCTTCTAAAAGGAGAAGATGAAATGGACACACCTCGTCAGTTCATCTTTGTTATTCTCTTTATAAACTGGTGTATGATACAGTTCACACAGAGGCAAATGTACAACGTGTTATTATTCAAGAATAAGACAGAAATGTGAAACTAACATCTGTAATATGTATTAAAGGATAAGAAACAGCTTATTATTGCTCAGAAAGAGTAAAATTCAATAGAATATCAGGAAGAAAAATAACTTTTAATAAAGCCCTGTAAGAAACTGATGGATTTGGCAAACAAAAATTACAAAGAGTTTTAAAGATTTAAACAATCTAATTTAAAAACCTGATATAAAAGAACCCTGGACCCAATAAACACAAGCACTTTTAACATTTTTTTAAGGTAAAAGCCAACATTAGTAATAACAAAGGAATGCAGCACATTTAAAATGCAGTGGTGCAGAGCCTATTCAGTCTTTTCACAATCACATGGAACACAAGGATTTACAATAGTTTCCAAATTTTATCACAAAGTTCTCTTAACGATGCAATTAAATGAGAAGTCAACAATAAAAGATGGGAAAAAAATACATTTGGAAAAATAAGCACTCTTAAATAGTCTGAGTTAAACTATAAAATCTTTGGAACTAAATGACTCTTAAGAACACATACATATCAAGATGTTTGATAACCAGCTCAAGTGCCACGTAAGTTAGGTTTATACTTTGAAATGCATTTATTAAAAGCCAGGAAGACATTGTGGTGCCATCAGACCCCAACTTGCTCAAATTTGTGCTATTTCTTTAAGTGTCTTAGCAAAATGGATAGGAACATTTATCTACTCACACAGAACTTATCTGTGACAATAGCAGTTTCTGAGCTTTTTCTTATTTATTGAGATTATATGATAGCATTACTATTTAAGTGAATAAAATTCTGTTCTTAATTTTTAAAGACATCCTGCCTTTATTAATGTTAAATTGTAATAGAGTTCAAAAATCATAAATAAAGGTTATATTTTTTCTTAAGAGGTCGTTTAACACTTTCTTGTCTACTAGTTTGTTCATTGTTTTTTCCTCCTCTAGATAATTATGTATTTTCACCATTCCAATTTCCAAAAGATGCCATTAGAAATCAAGATTATCTGAGGTTCCAGGTATTAGAGTGTTTCTTTTTATTATTATTATCTTCAAATTTTCTGAAATAAATATAAGAAGCATATGACATCTAGAAATAACATTAATTCATGCAGATAAAATTATTTCTGTAATGATTTCTTGATATTATTTCCTATTGTGTCCTCTCTGGTAACATCACTCTATCCTTTTGAGAAGATAACTTTGCACTGATAAAAGATATTATTCTTTTTTTTTTGGTACCGGGGATCGAACTCGGGTCCTTGCAGGCGATGGAACCACTGAGCTAAATCCCCGGCCCTATTCTTAAGATGTATTATTAGGCTATGTTAATTGCAATACTGACATGGCATTAAAATTATTGAAAATACTTTTCCACCTGTGGGATTCCTGGGAAATCTGTATAGCCAGATTATCATTACACCTAAAGAACTATTGTAGGTAATACACAATATTTTAAAACAAAATTTCTTTTTATTATTTAAAATATAAATAAATATACAAATGATTGAGGGTAGCTTGCAGTAAAAACACATACAATAATCCTTTAATATTATATATGAAAATCAGAAATTAAATATACAATTTTTTGTTGTTGTTACTGGGGATCGAACTCGGGTCCTTCCGCTTGCGAGGCAGGTGGTGGAACCACTGAGCTAAATCCCCAGCCCTGGTTTCTTCCAATACTATACTATCATAAAGCAATACTTCACTGAAATGATTATTTGTTGTATCATTTTAAGTCCAAGCACTTTTAAGTATATTAACATCCTCCCTGAACACTGCTGTGACACAAAAGGTATCATCATCATTTAAAAGACAGGAAAGTAGGCACAGAGAACTTCAATAAGCTGCCCAAAAAGTGTTATAAGCCAAAAAGTGTACAAGTTGACATTGAACCTTGGTAATGCAGATGCAGAGTCTGCAGTCTCAATTATTACACTATACTGTTATACTTTAATTGTGTTTAAACACTTGCCTAATTATCTACTAAGGATAAGTTCCCTAAATTTAGATTTCTGAGATAAAAGATTCTGAGACACATTTTAAATATGATACATGTTTCCAAATTCCCTCCAAAAAAGTCATATGGTATTAATAGATACATAGCACAGTATCATTTTACTCGAATTTTCAAACTCTACAGTGATTACCATAATAGCATTTGGGGTAAAATAGAAATCTTTAGAGAAATCTAGATTTGAATCTTTAATTACTGGCAAATTACTTAACTTTCTTTAAGCTCTTGTTCCTTCCCCTGTAAGATCAGGATATTTATACCTACTTTACAAGGATGTGACACAGATTTTAAATAATGTCTAGAAAAATTTTCCACAATCCCTCAGGCATAAGAAGGAGTCCTTCAATTAATGGTAATTATTGTGGCTTAATATAAATTATATCTGGATATCTATATACCAACTTTTAAAAATATTATTATTAATAGGACTTGAACTCACTACGTAGCCCAGGCTGGCCTTACACTCACAGTGATCCCCCTGCCTCAGTTTCCCAAATGCTGGAATCATAGGCATGTGCCACCACACCCAGCAACATACCAATGTTTTATTGGGCTAAGCAGATCTTATTACCATAGCATCAATTTTAGTGTTCCATTTATAAATATAATTTCTCTATCTTATAGTATACAGGAATGCTATATTAGATGTGATTCAAATTTAGCAAAATTATCTATCCCACATTAAACCATTTTGTTTTCTTTGTAGACTTACATATTTAATTCTTTCTCAGTGGTGTCAAAAAGTATTACATATATTATCTGCATGTGTGGATTCCATTTTTTAAAATTTTAGAATAAAAATTTAAAATGATAAAGTGATTACCACTGAGGAAGGGAATTTGGAAACTGTAAGGGGAGAATAAGAACTTCTTATTTTTCATACATACATCTGAAACAGAAACAATCACTACACAATCCTTCTCTTCCCAAGGCATAATCCTGGTGACAATGGAGTTCAGTGTTTGCTTCAGGTAAGTGTGATTTCCTCTGCTGACAGTGGGAATACCTAGTGCAAAAGAAACTGTAGACACAAGAGCATGGAAGCATTGTCTCAAGGCACAAATCAAAGCACAGCAACCTTAATTCTGTGATTCTTTGTTTGGGTTCGTCTTATGCTTATAAAAATAGTGTTTGAAACTGCATTATAAAAATAATCCTAACTATGTCATCACATCTTTCATTTTTTGTTGGAGGGAATTCCTATTTCCAGTGGATTATGTTTTAGTCAATGTATTAAATATACTCCACAATGTTATTACTTTGGAAAGTTTTGGTGCAATGAAAATAAAATGAAACACTCACCACTTATCATAGTTTTCACTTAACTTGGTACAAATTGTCACACAACGGCTGATTCTCTACCCTTCATCCTGACAAGACACTGGAACTCTAAACAGTGAAGACTATCAAGTGTTTTCATCAGTGAGAAAAATGTTTGAAGTAATTTCTAAGTGGTTTGATGGAATGACTTCATGCCCTTAAGTGGCTTTTATTGCCCAATAATAAGTGAAGCACTGAGGAAAAGCGGCCCCATGTTATCCTGAAGGAGTACTGTAACCAGATTTCATCAAGGAATTCTGCCCATATCCAATCATGGCGGCCCCAGCTCCCAGCTGTGTGAGTGTAGGGAAGAATACTGCCTCTCTATCCACAATTTCTCCACCTTCAAATGAGGAGAAGGACTTTAAGAATGGCTAAGCGAGGGACTCAGAAAATCATCTTCCTAAAAAGTAGCTAGAAAACTAAAAAAGAAGTAGATGAAATAATTATTTTAGGGTCATAATATACAACAAACTGAGAAATGTTTATTTAAAGAAAGAGATTGAACTTTGGAAATAGCTGTAAAAAATAGTGTTTTGCTGAGTACCATTGAATTTGAACCATTAGAGCCATTAGGTTGGCCTTGAACTCACTGCAACCCTCCAGCCCAACAGAGCGTTGGGAATATAGGGTAACCACCATGCCTGGTTCCTTTACTGGTTTATATCATTATATATTCTGAAGATGAGCCTCTTGTTTCTTATGTGTGGTAAAAATATCATACCCCTTTCTGGGTTCCCTTTTCAATAGTGTGTCTCCTAATGTACAGAAATTCTTAATTTTAATGTAGTGCAGTTTAGTCATCATTTACTTTACATTTCATCCTTCTGGGGTTCTTTGGAAAAATCTTTATCTCTAGGTCCTAAGGACATTCTCCTAGGTTACCTTCAAGAAGGTCTATTGTTTGCCTTTCAGTTTAGACCTATAGTGCACCTGAAATTGATTCTTATAGGCAGTGTGATACAGGAATCAAGTTTCAAGGGGTGGAATGCATTTCCCTGGTACAATTCTTGGGATGGCTTCCGCTGCTGTAGGACACAATTCTGAGCTTTGGTCCAATAGCCTTGCTTCAATTGCCACTGTTTTTTTCTTATTTTGTGGAACTGAGTTCATGCTTCAAGGATGAAGCATTGCCTCTGTGTAAAACTTTTGCTAACCTGGGTCCCAAAAGAGATGGGGAAACAGGAAAAAAGCCAAGTACAAACAGGTTTTCAAAACCAGAGAGAAAAGATTTGTCAAGTATTTAGCAGATGTTTAATGTATATTTGACTTATATTGACTCATTTTCAAAGTATCTGTATTAAAATTGAATTTTAAATCAAATCACTAAATATTTATACAACTATGTTTCTCTGCCAGACCAGACAATATCCCAGCCACTTATATGCATAGGCTCCCGAATGCCAGATAGGCTGGTGATCTCCTCTCCATCTGCCTATGATATTAATGAGTTACACCTTCAAACTCAAAAATATCTCCCCAAAAATCAAATATCTACTCAGTTTTCCAATTCTAAGGTTTCTTACCGCCTGTTTTCCCTTGGCCTATGATTACTTTAGGATAAATTCTTTTGACTTTCCTTACATGAGGAAAAAAGAACTTAAAGTCTTCAAATATATTAGATACTCTCTCATGCTCACTCAGTGTATCCATTTTCTTCTCATCTGAAAGAGAAAATAAATAGGATTCTGAGATTTTAGCCATAGGGAGTTTTTCTCTCTGATACAAAATTTTTTAATAAGGGTTAATAAATTAATCCACAGATGAATTTAGTATGAAAGAGAAAGATATTCTTAAATGTGAAATATCAAAATTATACTACAATAAAGTATACTCACAGATTTTTTTTTGAGACAGGGTTTTGCTATGTAGTTCAGGCTGATCTTGAACTCACTGTATAGCCCAGGCTGGCCTTAAACAATTGGTGATCCTCCTGGCTCAGCCTCCTGAGTGCTGGGATTACAGGCATGCACCACACTCAAAGATTATTGATTGATATTTATTTTAAAAGCAATTTTAATTTAAGACTAGCACCATGAGCTATACCACAGACAAATGGAACTGTCAGTTCCAAGTGAAACATGCTGGAGAAATGACTTCTTCTGAAATTCTGATAAATATCACTACATTAAAGTTGCATCTTTATAACCATATTATGGCCCATTAACATTTAATGACTCTGTACCCTTCATTAAAATTTTCTTAAAGAATTTCAAAAAAGATAAACAAACTTGGAGGACTCATACTACCAAATTTTAATTTATAATGTACAATTTAGTAATGAAAACAGCATGGTATTACATAAAAATAGATGCATAGCACAAGGGAACAGAATAGAGAATACAGAAATTGATCTACACACAGGCATGGGTGATTTCTGACGAAGATGCGAAGGCAATCAATCAACACAGAAAAGACAATTAACAACCTCGTGTTGGAACACTTAGGCATCCAAGTGAAAAAACTGGATCTTTATCTGTACTTCAGAGCATTTACAAAAGTTAACTAAAAAATTTCGTAAATACAAATATAAAACATGAAACTATGAAGTTTTTAAAAAAAGAAAAGAGGTCTGGGCCAGGGATTTAGCTCAGTGGTTCTGCCACCTGCCTTGCAAGCACAAGGTCCAGAGTTTGATCCCTGGTACAAAAAAAAAAAAAAAAAAAGAAAAAAAAGAAAAGAGGTCTTACATACATCATAACAAATATATAAAAGAAAACTTGATTGGACTTCAACAAAAAAAAGTGTTCACCCTCTGAAGAACATCAAGAAAATAAAGCCAAATGTGATGGTGCACATCTGTAATCCGAACAATTGGGAGGCTGAGGCAGGACAATTGCAAGTTCAAGTCTTGCATGGGCAACTTAGTGAGACCCTATTTCAAGTGATATGGATGCACCTCAATCTGAAAGCTCTGGGGTGGTTCCATCCCGACTATCAAAAAAAAAAAAAAAAGAAGGGAGAGAGAGAAAAGAAAAGAAAAGAGCCAAGTCAAGCCACAGACTGGAAGAAGATATTTCCAAATAATGTATCCATCTGGTATGTATCCAGGGTAATATACAGAACTCTCAAAACTCTACAAGAAAGCAAACCACTCAACTTAAAAACGGGGGAAAGATTTGAACAGATGTTTTCCAAATGAGATATCTGGATGGCAAATAAGCACATAAAAAGGTTCAACATCAGTAGTCAAAGGGGGACTAAAACTTAAAACTGAGGCATCACAACACTGGAATGGCCATAATAACAGGGGTGATTGGAAATGTCATACTCTGTTGCAGAGGATGCCAGGGTTTGTCCACCCTGGCAAACAGTCTGGAAGATTCTATTAAGTTAAACATAGACTTGACATATACCACATTGATCCTACTTCTAGTTATAATCCTTAAAACATTAAAACTTTTCTTCATACAAAAAAAAAGACCCTGTAATGAATGCTTATAGCAATATTGATTTGTAATTGTTCCAAACCAAAACAACTCAAATGTCCTTCAACTGGTAAAAAGATCAGCAAACTGTATGCATTGTACATCCACCCAATGGAATGGAACTTGACAATAAAAGAGGAACAAACAATTGTTTGCACAACAATTTGCATGTATCTGTGCTAAATGGAAGAAGCCAGACTCACAGGGTGACACACTGTATGACTGTACTTGTATGGCAGCCAGAGAACTGCTCAGTGGTTGCCAGGGGTTATGAGTGGATGAAGGACTGGACTACATAGGAGAAGAACAAGGCTGGAATTTTTATCCTGGAGTAATGGCGAGCCATTGAACGTTTATATTCAGGATGCTGCAGCCTTCACTTTGACGACAGTGGATATAAGTAGGTGGATATAAGACTGGAAAGAAGAAAGAACAATAGGAGCGTGTGGTAAGTCGCTGAGATGAGGGACAAAGGTGGTCTGACCAGTGTTGTGAAGGGAGTAATGGAAAATGTGAAGGAAAAATTGAGAGAAATGAAGAAAATGTGATGGAAAATGCTGGTTGACTGCCTGGAGGAAGGCAAGAGGAAAGAGGGGTCAGAGGTGGTACCCAGGTGCCAGCTGTATTTACAGGCTGGATGGTGTGGGGCTGTTCATAGACAGGAGACCACTGCCCAAGTAGAAATAAGAACAGTGCGTCGGTGATGCCTCTCGCCTGATTTCCACGGCCTCGCTGTAAGAGAATGGTACTTGTTTAGTTATGGTTATAGAGGGGAAATGCCTAAAAATCAGTAGGCATTTAATCTAAATCTCCAAAAACAAGCTACCATACCCAAAAGCAAAAGCAACACAGACCTAAGGTTCCTGACAGATTTTCTCTCTGTATAATTTCATGATGCATCTCATTCAAGGCTTTCTTGAGCTGTTGATGAATATTTTCACTTCTATTTTTTAAATGTAGTATATTTTCCTTAAACTCCAAAATACAGTTTTTACAATTAGTTGATTGCCTGCAAAGAAAAACCAAAGGTACATATTTATAAATGTAGCAAATGTATGACACAATTTTCTGTGATAAGAGAAAAATGTAAAATATGCACATCAACATAGTTATATATATAGCAAATACGTTATATGTGTGTGTGTGTGTGTATATATATATATATATATATATATATATGTATAATGTATGTTAACGTCTTTAGGAGGTGTGACCAAAAATGCAGCGAATGCTGCTGCCAAGGGCCATCCAACAGAAAGCAGGCTCATAAAGAACATTACAGTGTGTCCTCATCCACTTTATTCACCAGATCTGGCACCAGGCGACTTCTGGATCCTGCCCAAAGTCAAAATGACTACAAAAGGTAAATGTTTTGAGCTGATTCAGAACGTTGAGGCAGTCACAGCAGGGCACCTAAAGTCAGGAAAGAGGACTTCCAGAACTGCTTCAGAAAGTGGCGAGAATGATGGGATAAGTGTGCTCAGAGAGAAGGGCAGTATTTTAAGGAAGATTAATGGCAATGTATCTTCTACTGTAATAATTTTAATTTAAACATTTGCCATGTTTTTTATCATACCTTAGCTCAAGAAAACCTTTTAGAGACATGAGAATATGGAAAAATGGTATTTCAGTTAGCAGAGAAAGCACAGAAATTGGCTAATGATGTAGGTGGAATAAAAGATGAATACATGGTTTGGATGGCAATAAATTTAGATGGCTGTTTAAAAAAACTAAGGTCCAATATGAAACTACACAAATAATAATGGCTTGTTTGGGTTCCACATTGACTTTCTCTTTCATCTTCCTTGCATCAGCAAGGGCACACATGTGGACAGCTGTGGGCAGACACTGGCGGAAGCCATTCCTCTGCTAAGACCTCCTGAGATCTCAGCACACTTAGAAAAACAGCCAAAGACTTTGCTGTTGCAAACCCAGCCCTACACCACCCGCTTTGGGTTCTGCTCTGGCCTCATTCCCTGCCATCCCTGCTGCCCTGAGGGATACCAGCTCCAGCCACACTGTCTTCCTGAGCGAACCCGCTCCCACCACTGGGTGCTTGCCCCTGCAGCGTTATCCATACAGAATGCTCACTCCCAGGTTCGCTGTGGCTATTGCTCCCTAACTGCATTCAGTTTTCTACTGAAACGTTACTGCCTCAGATAAGCATACCATGCCATGCTATGTAAAATATCTTCTTTTTCTTAGTCATTAATCACTACCAACTTACTAAATTGTGTCCATCTCCAGAGGTCTCTAGAATGTAAGCTTGAGAACAGCATGAATTTTGAAGTTGCTTTGGTTTTGTTTTTGAAGTGCTGGGGATTAAACTCAGGCCCTGGAATATCCTGGGCAAGTGATCTACCATGAGCTACATCACTAACCCTTTTTTAGAGAATATTTTTGTTTTAGGGAAAGATCTCACTAAGTTATCTTGGCTGAATTTGGAACTTTCAATCCTCCTGCCTCAGCCTCCTGAGTAGCTGAGATTACAGAAGTGCACCACTAAGCCTGTTTAGTTTTTTTTTCTGTTAAATTCTCAATGCCTACAATAGTGACTGGCCTACAGCTCTTACATAAATATATGCTGAATGAATGAAATGAATGGGGCTATTGTAGGAGCTGCTTTCTGTGATTTCTTAAAACTGAATCATACTTTAATCAAAAGAACTTCAGGCTGATAAATCTTGAATAGACATAAAGAGATGCTCTTGAGGATGCCTACAAAGTTTAGAGGAGGATGTGGTATCACCAGTAACCACTGTGATTAGGGTGTTCCAGGCAATATTCTTTTTGCAAAATGGATTGTGGGATCGTGTAATCGTGTGTTTGGAGTCAATATATCGTGGATGAGGCAAGACAATGTAGGAGAGTCCCCAAAGGACCAATTTGGTGAACACAAAAAGAAAGAGTTTTCTCTGGAGAAAGCAACATTTACAGAAACAACCACATAGCAACATTAAAAGACATGATCTCTAATCTTGGATCTGCTTCTTGTAAATTCTTGTGATAAATCAAGGGATCAATATTTTATTTAGAATTTTTATATTGCAGTAGAGGTGCATCCATCCAGTCAGGTATTCAGTGAAGACACCATGTTAGAAAACCACTTTTCGGAGGTTTGAAATAGGCAGTGATTAGATGCTTTGAGTCAACTAAGCATCTTTGTAATAAAATTGTGAAAATGAGCACCAGTTCGTGTGTGTAAGGGGCCAGCGTGATGTCTGCCCACATAAAAAAGTTTCAGGTGAGATCCTAAGCACTAGAGAGCCTGGCTTCTCATGGAAGGGTCCAAACACTACTCTCCTGTAGACATAGGCCTCATTTGTAATTTTAAATTTGCAGGTAGGCACATTTTTTTTCTTTTTTCTTTCTTTTTTTTTTTTTTTTGTTACCGGGGATAGAACTCAGGTCCTTTGGCTTGCAAGGCAGGCAGTGGAACCACTGAGCTAAATCCCCAGGCCAAACACTTTTTTAAAAAATAAAAAGGAATCAGTGAAGGTAATTTTAAGTGATTTTTTTAACCCAATAAGCCCCAAATGTTATTTCAACATCAACTAATCAACGGGACATTTTACATTCCTTTTTTGTACTAAATAATCTAAATCCTGTGTGTCTTTTATACTTAACAGCACATCTCAATTCAGGTGCTGCATTGTAATATTTACAATGAAAGGCAGTCCCACCAGATGAGAAAAGTTTCTCATGCTGGAGAAATAGTTCACCTTGCCTCAGTTATTAAGGGAAATCTGAACTACTTAAAATTACAATGAAGTGAGCATTTAGTGCCCTAGTTGCAATAAAGGGTTTGAGTTTTTATCAGCCAAGTGGCTGGCACACTGGACCATACAAATCTCTGGCATAACAGTTTTGAGCTTTCTAGAAATGCAGCATCTCAGGCTGCTCACCCCAAACCTACTGAATCAGGATGTGCATTTCAATAAGGTTCCCAATAGACTGGGTGTGCACATTTACATTTGAGAAGCATTGTTGCAGACCTCTTTGTTTTATCTTTATTACCATTGATATTAGCATAGTTCAGCCTTTACTGTCTATAGATGTACTATCATAATTGCCTCTTAATTGGTCTCTCACCTCCAACTCATGATTAATCTTCTGGAAACATTGCTTGGGAGGGGCGGTATACAAGGTCCCCTGAATGAATACTGAGCAAAGCCCAAACTCCTTGCCCTGGTACACAAGGCCAAAATCAGTGTGGCCATGACCTCCTCCACTGGCTTTCTTCATTCAATAAACACCCCAGTGAGGAGAGGTGGACTGACAGACACTGTCATTCTTCCTTCCCTGGAGTACTTACTATGTTTCCCTAACTGCACCAAGTTACAGGAAAACAAATGGGGTAAAGCCAGGTTTCTACTCTAAATCAACTGGCCATCAGGCTGCAAGGGATGGGGGCAAGGAGTATATATTTAGACAACTAATTATAACTCTTACACTAGAGTTACCCTCCCATGAGCCACAGGCCAAGGGAGGCAGGAATGATTAAGGAGGATGAAGGAGTAGGTGAGGAGGTAGGAAGGTTTCAGAGAAAAGAGAATATTTGAGAAGTTGAAAAAGGTATAGAACTTTACCAAAGTATAAATAAGTTAAAGAGCAAAATAAAAGATAATAATAGGAAACAGGGAAACAGATCTTTTGCAAATGAGAAAGGGATGAAGAGATGGAGAGGGGGAAAAAGAGGGAGAGGAGGGGAAGGGGACATAAAAAGAATTAAGATGTGTTATTTACATGTGCCAATTCCCCGCCAGGAATAAAATCATGTCCTGCAAAGATGTACTAATAAAAACAAAAATTTTAAAAAAATTTTGCCATATAGCAAAAGGCAAGGAAGGACACTCCAGACTAAGGACACAGCACCACTGTAGCCTTGAAGGGTATATCCTCCAATGACCTAAAGACCTCGCAGCAGGCCCCACCCCCTAAACAGTCTACTATCTCCAAAGAGCAATACTATAGGGACTAAGCCTGTACTTGGAGGGATATTCAGCATCCAAACTACAGGAAGCAATTAGTAGGAGATGAAGCTAAAAAGGAAACATACATTTTGAATTACTAACCTCTAGGTATGCTTTGCAATAATCAAATCACAGTATGCATCAATCCCTTTAAATTCCCTAAGGGCCGTTTATTAGGGTTTTTTCTTTCTTTCTTTTTTTGGTCTTGTTTTGTTTTGCAGTATTGCGGATTGAACTTAAGTCTTAAAGGCCCTAATCCTTTATTTTTTATTTTAAGACAGGGTCTTGCTAAGTTGCCCAGGCTGGGCTCACATTTCCAATCCTCCTGCCTCAGCCCCCCAGTGCTGGGATTACAAGTATGCACCACTATGCCCTGGCTTGCTTTAGGTTTTATTGTGAAGCATATTAGACATGAAAACAAGTAGATAAAGTAGCTTAAGGGATAAAAATAAAAATGAGTACCCATGACCTGACTACTACCTGAGTCTTAGATAACCCACCTGTGTCCCTCCCAGATCACCTTTCCCTTCCTCCCTACCCTCAGATGAGAATTCTGAATTTTATATTAATTATCCATTGGTCCCTTTATAGTTCTAACATTTTGCAAGTTGACTTACACTTGATTTTAGACATCAATTAAAAGAAAATATATGTATTCCATACTTGCTTTTCTTCAATTTATGCTTTTGAGACTCAGCCAGAATGGATGAGTCAACCTCTAGTTCATTCATCTTAATTGCTGTAAAAATTTTTACTGTATCACAACATATTTATCTCTCCTCTTGTTGTTGAGCAATATTATGAGAACATTCACATCCCAAGAATATTCTGGTATATGTGTCCTAGTAAACATGTTCAAGAGTTCCCCCAAGCACAGCAAAGATGCTAGAGTTTGCTATGGCCAAGTGAGTACTGCAAGAGAACCACAATGGGCACCTGCAAGGCAAAAGACTCTTAGCAGCTAGGCCCCTGGCAAGAGGAGAGAGGACATGCATATGGCAGAGGTGGATGGCCCACACCAGGGAATGGGGAGCGG